CAGCATTTGTTTCCCAGGCAGAAAGCTCTCTTCCAAATGTAATGGAGTCAGCTTTTTATTTTGAACAAGCCGGAGTTGGTCTGGGCACTGATGAGACTTACCGCATCTTTCTTGCCCTCAAACAACTTACTGAAACCCACCCAATCCAAAGATGCCGTTTCTGGGGCAAGATCCTGGGTATAGAAAGAAATTATATTGTAGCTGAAGTGGAATTTCGTGAGGGGGAAGATGAAGAGGAGGTGGAGGAGGAAGAAGTAGCTGAAGAAAGGGACAATGAAGCAATTGAAGCTGATGAAGAGGAGGAAGATGAATTACCAAAGGCCTTTTACAAGCCCCCACCAACTATACCCAAAGAAGAAAATAGAACAGGCGCCAACAAATATGTCTATTTTGTTTGCAACGAACCAGGAAGACCTTGGGTGAAGTTACCATCAGTTATGCCTGCACAAATTGTGATTGCAAGAAAAATCAAGAAATTTTTCACTGGGAGATTAGATGCTCCCATCCTAAGCTACCCACCTTTCCCAGGAAATGAGAGCAATTACTTGCGAGCACAAATTGCCAGAATTTCAGCAGGAACTCATGTCAGCCCTCTAGGATTCTTCCAGTTTGGTGAAGAGGAAGGAGAGGAGGAGGAAGAAGTGGAGGGTGGGAGAGATAGCTTTGAGGAAAACCCTGATTTTGAAGGCATTCAAGTGATGGATCTAGTGGAATCTCTCTCCAATTGGGTTCATCATGTACAGCATATTCTTCCACAGGTAGGGGTATTTGCCAGGTGATGTACAGTCTCAATATAGCTATGTGCATTCATTTTTAAAACAGTTCTTTTACTCTATCTCCAAAAAACTTGAATCTTTATCCCAAGAACACTATAGGATTATAACAAAAATGGGGAGGGGAAGCAAACAGTGACATAGGACACTATTACATTGAACCTATTGTGCCAGGTGCTACTAAGAGAAATATATCTGCCAAGTATGGTGGAACACACCTGTGATCCCAGCATCCCAGCAGCTTGGGAAGCTGAGGCAGGAGAATCATGAGTTCAAAGCCAGCCTAAGCAACAGCAAGGGGCTAAGCAACTTAGTGAGACCCTGTCTCTAAATAAAATACAAAATAGGGCTGGGGTTGTGGCTCAGTGGTTGAGTGACCCTGTATTCAATCCCCAGTACGTGCTCCAAAAGCATTTTATATATAATAAAATATAATTAAGGGGCTATATATAATCTCATATACATACATAATTTAATCTTCATAAAAACTCTATGAAAGATTGAATATTACTATCTTTATTTTATAGATGAGGAAACTGAAGCAGAGGGTTTAGGAAACATGACAAAGTAATATAGCTAATAATTACAGTCAGATAGATGTGAAGCTGTGCAGAATAGACCCAGAGTCCCCCTTCTTAATTACTCTTCTATACTTCCTTGTTTGTGGGTAGAAAAATCTTCATTATACTTTTAACTAGATAAGAGATACACTTAGAGAGCTCTAGATAAGTTGAGAAATTATAACTGCCTACCTACCTTATTACCTCACTTAGAATTTTGTTGTTTAATAATCATACCATATTAGCTTTACTTCACTTATATAAATCACATATGACAAACCAACAAAAAACATTATTACCTTTTCACTGATAGTTTTAAAGCATACATAAACCTTCAAGTTCTGCAACTTCAAAAAGTGGACAAATTACTGGAATAAATAATACATTTTATTCTTGAAATGACCTAAATGGAAATAGCCTTTGATAAATAACTATAGAATGAATGAATGGATAATCGACTGATGTCCCACACAATGAAAACTCATTCTGATAATTGCTTTAATAGGAACAAATATTCTGAAATGTTAAGGTCCTCATGAGACTATTAAATAATGCAAAATTCATTTCCAGGGTCGCTGTAATTGGTTCAATCCTGTGCAAAAAGATGAGGAAGAAGAAGAGGAAGAAGATGAGGAAAAAGAAGAAAAAGGCGAAGATCCTGACTACATAGAACAGGAAGTGGGGCCCCCTCTTTTGACACCAATCTCTGAAGATTTAGGTAACTTATATGACTGTCAACCCAGAATCACATAAACTGCACAATATGAGCATTCTGTGGCAAATCTCTAAAAGTGAACTTGGAGCCATGGTTTCCTCCCCTTCCCCTTCATGTGTTCCAGAATGGCAGGAGAGAAGAATGCCGTTGTCCATGCCAATGTGCTCTGACAGAAGCTGAAAGAATGATGTAGGGAGGGAACACAGTGGGCCATAGGTCTTGCTAAAAATGTTCATAGGGTCTTAAGCTTCATTCTTGTCTTGCTTTCTGCAAACTTGAATACCGGTGCTGCTCTCTTTACAATCACTCTTGTGCCATGTTCCTGTTTTTCTCATCTGCTTTGCTTGTGCTTGCAACCCTTAGTCTCTTCCACAGTAACAATTTGACCTTTCATTTGGTTATGAATACTACTCCCTCTACCACAGAAATCCCTTCTCCATTAATAAAGCCTGTGTTGCAAAAATGAATATGTGTGTACATATATGTACATATATTTGAAATTTTATTATTCCAAAACATTCATAAATTCTCTCCTGATTTTGTTAAGCTGCTGTCTTAACTTTTCCTTCTCTATCAAGTGTGCCTGTATCTGTGTATAAGATTTATAAAAATGACTTTGGTTATATAGTATCTTCTTGTCTGTTAAGGAGCTAAGTTTTCAAATCTCTCCTTGGGTTCCAGAGATTCAGAATATGCCTGCTTGGACAACACGGCTGTCCTCAAATCTCATCCCACAGTATGCTATTGCAGTCCTCCGATCCAACCTCTGGCCTGGAGCATATGCCTTTTCCAATGGCAAGTAAGTATCTGACCACTTTACAAACTCATTGTTGTGACTGTTTAACTCTGGAAATTATGTTCTCACTAGCATATTAATCTACTATTGCTTTAACTCAACTTTGACGTATCAGGTACGCGTGGCCTAAGATTTATTCAAATAGCATCTCTATTAAACAGTAAAAGATATTAGAACAATTCAGGCTTTTGCCCTTTTATCTTAGTTATCTAATTAATTGAATTAAAATATGTTTTTTCATCTATGATTACTGGGGTAATTTACTTATACATTCACTTAGATAAATGGAGATAATTGTAAGCAGTGTTTAAATTAGTTTAAGACTCAGATCATTTTTATTGAACATCTCAGTAAAAGATAATTTTAAATATGTTTTATGTAGGCTGTCACTCTCAAGGAAATTAAGATATAGAGGATACTAAAAATCCTTTAATCCCTCGCCAACACGTACACCTCCATTTGTCTCACACTTCCACTTCTTTCCTAATAACCTAGTGTTTAAAGCTCAACAGAGCAGGAGAGCACTGAGCGGCCAGGTGTCAGAGTAGCCCTTGTGGCAGCAAGCCAACATCAGAGCTGACTAAGCCTTTCATCATTACTGTGCTAGCATGAGGAAGAATCATTTTTGTCTTCTCCCTGTTCCATTTTCTCCCATGTGATGGCCACCAGTGGAGAGTCAGATAGGAAGGTGCCACAGATGTGGGGTTCTGGCATCATCTCATTGACAAGGGAGTCTCTGAAGAAAAGGCTTCTGCAATATGGATGGAAGACGGGGTGGGGGAACTAGGAGGGGATGGAAAAGGAGGCCTTCAGGACTCAGCTCCAATCCTAGAAACAAGCTACCTGGGCTAGGAATGTGAACATGTGAAGAGCAAGACCAGCCAGAGGGGCCAGAGTCCTAGGCCACAACCCCCTTAGATAAGACAACACACTGGTTGAGCCCCTGTTTGCTGTGGGAAGGGCAGTTGTCCAGTGAGGGCAACCAGGTGAAGCTTTTGCAATTGCCTATGGTGAAACCTAAAAATGTGACACATGAGTTTTTAATGACAAGGCTGACTCCTTGCACAAGCCATGAGCTTGCTGGGTTAGCAATGTTTTGAACTTCTTTAACTTTATGCAGGGTATTAAGTGTTTTTCTGAATAATTAAATAAGGCCTTTACTTGGGGTCTGGGTATAGTGTACATTTTGACAGGGTCTGGCCCCAGGGTTTCCTTAACCAGCTTAAGCAGTTCGATCAAAACAATTTCTTGTAGTAGAATTACTGAAGGATATTTTACTTCTAGCATTTAAAATGTATTGTTTTTTAAAATTATGGGACCATGATACAATAATAGCACTTCATTGCTATAGAATGGTCATTTTCTTACTGAACAGAATATACAGACTTATTTATATATTTTTTTACTTACAGAAAGTTTGAGAATTTCTACATAGGGTGGGGTCATAAGTATAGTGTGGACAATTACACACCCCCAGTTCCACCACCAGTCTATCAAGAATACCCTAGTGGACCAGAAATTACAGAAATGGATGACCCTGATGTGGAAGAGGAGAAGGCTTTCAGGGCTGCACAAGAAGCAACTGTATTTGCAGCTGAGGAAAATGAAGAAACTGAGGAAGATGAAGATGAAGACTAGTAAGAATAAAATTAGCTGACACCTATGTTTCATGAATATAGACAAACCCCTTATGTGAGACTGATTATATACATGTATGCACATAGATACAAACATATATATAAATTGGCCATTATCTGTGTGCATGTTATTCTTTAGAAATAGGAAACTTGACATTTCATGTGTAGAACTATTAATGGGTATATAAAAAGATACTCAATGGATCTTCCAGAAGCTAAATAATGTGATCATATTACTCTTCTGACGACCCTGGCTAATAGAATATATGCTTATGTATTCTTGTTTTTAAAAGGTCTGATTTAATTTCTAATACGATAAACATTAAAAAGTCTAATCCACCAGGTTCCTTGGAAACTTCTATACTTTTGAGTGTCAAGGAGTAAGGAGAACAAAAGCACTAGTAATCAGTAAATTTGAGCATGTATTTCTAACCTTTGTAAAAACTGACTCAGGGCATGTATTCTTAAATATTTGTAATTGCTGGTGGTCAAGCCTGTGATATTGAGTACAAATACCATTTATGTTCATTTTCTTTTTGTAGGGGAAGGTTCATAATTTCATGACCTGCTCAAAGACTATTGGAACATTTTGAGTTCTTTGTATATTCTGGAAATTAATGAGCCAATCCCCAAAATCCAAAGGTCAGATGTTCTCTCTGATATGTGAATGCTAACACACAACAAAGGGTGTGGAGAATAAAAGTTCAGTGGATTAGATAAAGGAGAATGAAGGGAAGGAGTGGTAGGAATAGGAAAGACAGTGAAATAAATTTGACATAACTTTCCTAAGTACATATATGAATACACCACAGTCAATCTCAATAATCTGTATATCCACAAGACTGGGATCCTAATTAGAATAAGATATGCTTCATGTTCATATAAATATGTCAAAATACTGTATAATACTGTCATACAATATATAACTGAAAAGAACAAACAAAAAAGACTATTGGAGTGCTCATGCAATTGCCCCTCTCCACCCTGTTTTTTACTACTGGTGATTGAACTCAGACACTTCACCACTGAGCTACATTACCAAACCCCAGCCTTTTTTTTTCTTTCTTTCTTTTTTTTAATTTGGAAATGGAGTATAAGTTGTCAAAGCCAACCTCAAACTTGTGATCCTCCTGCATCAGTCTCCCAAGTCTCTAGGAATGTAGGTATGTGCTACCTACCAAGCTCAGCAAGTCCCTTGAACTTCTCAATTTCCTCAATTGTAGACCTTGTTCATCCTATAGAAATTGATTTAAATTTGGAAAATATGATTTGAAAATATGGTAAACTGGCAGATCCAGACATTTCAAACTTACATTCTCTATCCCTACATTTCTAAAATATTATAAATCAATTAAAAAGGGGGGATTTTTTTTAATTTGGAAATGGAGTATAAGTTGTCAAAGCCAACCTCAAAGGAGTTCATAAGTCACCCTGAATTATGAATAAGAACTAGGTGCTACTCCTGAAATCATGGCTTTCACTGAAGCGGAAATATGAAAAGGTAAATATAAAGTTAGAATAGACTGTAATTTAGCAAGTAGTATAATGTGACCATTACAGGGTCCCATAAAATAGTGTCTCTCAAATCGTGGTAAAGGACCAATTAAAAAATTAATTCCAGTATTAATGCTGATGTTTGTAAAATTTTTAAAAAATCAAAGCAATCCTTAATTTCTAAATTTAACTTGTCATAGACTGGAAGTTTGTGGATCACTCATCTACACTAAGTTAGACTGCTTCAAGGACCTAGAAAGTGCACTTACTCTAGATTTGAGCAGATTAAGAAGTACCATTAACAGCCACCAGGTAGAGTAGTGTGGGCGAAGGGTTCTAGGCAGAAAGAGCTGGATTTTGGCAATAGTCTTGAGTCTGAGTGAACTTGCCTTGAAGGGATGAGAGAGGAACCTGGAGAGGTAAGCTGAGGCCAGAGGGTAGAAAGGATGGATTTTTACCCATGAACAATGGGGAGGATCAAACTAGAAATTCATACAACTCATTTGTATTTTAGAACACTTTAGCTTCAGTTTGGAAAACAAATAATAAAAAATGCATACAGGGAAACTAGGTGGTTATCAGACTACCTTGGTTAGAAAAAATGGTGGCATGAACCAGGACAATTGCAAGAGGATGTAAAATAGAAAACTGGTTACTAGTCTGCAGGACAGAACATTAGAAAGGGTGGCTCCAGAATTCTCTAATTGTCAATACTATTTCATCGTTAGAGCACAAATTTCAGTCTTTGCTGGAATACCTAAAATTCATAAATCTTTATTCAGTAGATTTCTGTTCATTGTATGGTACACATTTGCATTGTTGTTGTTGCTGCTTAATCTCCATTTCTTCATTCACCTTCATTTCGTTCTGAGGACCTCTATCTTGTTAGATAGTCTCCTGTCAATCAAATCAGTCCTGTCTAGAATCTGAATTCCAAGCAGACAATGTACTGTGGCTCCTCATCAGATTGTTCCTGCTATAAATTTCACCATGTTAGCCTTCAATTGACTGATTCCAGCCCAGTTCTCTAGTTAACAATGGATTCTGAGAATTTATGATAATTTCTTGATAATTCCCTTCTGCTGATGTTGACCAATGCAGCATTCTTGCTTGGAATCATACAAGACATTCAACCAGAATTTGGAAGTCCCTTTCCTATAGGACACATTAAACACAGGACTTGGAGACAACCTATGTTTATATCTTGGATCACGATAATTTTCTTGGGCAAACTACTAACCTCTCTGAGCTTTAGCTTCCTTGTGGGCATAATAATAGTACTGTCTCAAAGAACTATTCTGAAGACTAATTAATTAACAGATTGACATACTAAGAGCACCTAACAGAAGTAAAGACCTAATACATATTAGCTTATAACGATAATACAAAGTAGATTTCTGAAACATACATAAGAAAAACAAAACTCATAATGCAAATGAGATATTTTATTGAAATAATTACTAAATAAGAAAGTACTACAGGTATAATTTAATAAAGGCATTTTGGAAATTAAATTATATGTTGAGTACTTAGAGAATTCAGATTCTTAAATTTTATTAAGGAGTTCAATATCTGAATTAGGAAAACGAAGTATAATTCCACAATCATTAAAATACTCAATTCTTCAAGGAATCTTCTCTGCTGTGAAGACTTGAGAAGCTTGTCTCCTGGCCTTGAAAGGGAATTTTAAAATGTATTAATTGTAAGCTAGAAATAATTATATTATATATTAAGTATTATTCTAAGATAAAAATAAAATCTGAATCTTTTTCAAGTAATGAAAATTCCTAAAGGAAAATTCCAGCCTCGAACTTATAAAATTAATAATCAACAGTTTTTTAAAAAGCCAAGCCATAAAGGAATTAAAGAACATTCAAATAAAGACAAAACAGAATGAAATAAAAAGAAAATGTAATTATTTAAGGCATAATGAGTTAAAAGTAAAAGTGCTGGCTCACAGCAGAAAAAAACAGGATGGGGAGAGGGAAAGAGAACAACAAAAGAGGAGAGCAATAGGGAGTTATAGAACCAAGAAACTTAAAGAAAACCATCTCCCTCTACCAGGGGTAGATGAAAACTAGTATAGGTCTGTAATTCCAGCTACTTGGGAGGCTGAGGAAGAAGGAGTACAAATTCAATGATACCCTAGGCAACTTAGTGAGACCTTGTCTCAAAATAAAAAATACAAAGGGTTAGGGTTGTAGCTTGGTGGTTGAGCCCCCTGAGTTCAACCCCCAGTAAAAATAAACATATATATATGCATATACAAATATAGTAAAATAGGAAATACAAGGGGGTTATGTTCTTCTATAGTTCTCTGTCTCCTTTGCCTTTAAAGTGAAGTAAAACAACGTAAAGTACTCAAATAGGAGCACCTTTGTTAAGATGTGGCAAGTCTAAATTCTAGAACTGTGTATCAATAACAAGCTCAAGTGCATAAAACAGAGCCTCAGGAATCCTGCAAGTCATATTTTACTAAAGAATAATTATAAAACCACTATGAGTTAGGTCTACAGATTAAGATATATTTTTACCATATTTATTGTTATGTTCATAACTCATATATTAAAAATTAAGCTAAATATTATGAAATTAAATATTTTTATGAAGTTGTATAAAGCAATTGAAAGATTCTTTTAAGTTTAAAAGAGGGACTGAGGTTATAGCGCAGTGCTGGAGCATATGCCTAGCATGTGTGAGGCACTGGGTTCGATCCTCAGCACCACATAAAAATAAATAAGGATACTGTATGTTTATCTACAACAACAACAAAGTTTAAAAGATATCCATTCCAGAAACTCAGTGATATAGAAACAAATGCTTTGTCTACTTAATGAAACAGAATGAGATGTTAGGAGATACAAAGGGATCATACTAATTTTAACTAGAAATTTTAAAGTTTTGCCCATTCAAGCATCATACTTACAACTTTCTCCTCTGAAGAAAGAGTACCCTCTACTGCCACTATCTGGTATTGCTTATGCTTTAAATTTCCCACAAATTTCCGAAGTTGCTTGAGACTGCTAGCTTCTATGTCTTGCTGTAATAGTTTCTGCATTTCTCGAGAAGGACATCCAGGATCAAATATCAATAAACATAATGTTCTGTTTTTTCTCTCTTCAATTCCAACAATTGTCCGACTATGACCTATTAAAATATAAAGTAACCAATATATGTCACATCCACCTTCTGCTATAAACACACAGATATTAATATATATATATATATATATATATTCCTGTTCTCTGTATATATGAATATTATATGGACATATATGTGTGTGTTTAGAATATTAATACGGTCAGTCATTTACGTGTCTATACCTGAGACCTCTCCTAATGCACAAAGTAATTAGTTCAACTTGCTTGTTCTTTAGGGGTTTTTTGTTCAATTTTAGTTTTCTAAAGGCTTCATTACAAAAAAATTGTGCTTCCACTCCACCAATTTTCCTTTCCCTTTCCTAGTCTTTTGATCCCCTTTTCTTTCCCTCTTCTTTAATCAAATTATCTTAAATAAAATGGCTTGAAATTGACTTTCCCAGAACAAAAATATAGTTCCTAAAGGGAAACAGAAGTAAATTTATATATACTAGATATCAATGGGGAGGGCTTAATCTCCTATGGTTTGTATTCCTATTCAATGATTATGTCTCTTTATTCTGTCAATTCAAATCATCCATTTAACAAACTTGATCAAGTATCTCTATGCCAGGCACTATTTCAGCAGCAAAGAACATAACAGCAAACAAAACTGACAAAAATGTCTTATATAATAATAAACACTGTAAACAAGGTAAAGAAGCGAAGGAAATACCAGTAGTGGGTAGTTGGGAAAAGGAGTTGCAGTTTTAAATAAGGTGGGGTAAGAAAATGCTTCACTTAAGTGACATAAGTGATGAACAATCAAAGAAGAGTGAAGCAAAGAAAATGACGAGCTGAGAATATGGTTCAGTGGTAGAGTACTTGCTTAGCATGCACCAGGCCTTGGTTTCTACCAATGATACCAAACAACAACAACAATAACAATAAAAAGAAAAAAGAAAGGAAAGAAAAGAAACAAAACCCAAGAAATGATGAGTTCAAAAGACCCTTAAAATGCCAGGAATATGATCCTTCATTGCCCAAAAATGTACTGTAATGACCCAGTTGCTCTGAAAACGAGAGTATTGTCACAATATTCCCCCTCCTCCCTATTATCGGAAACTTAAA